GCAGATTGCGGCACGGTTGTGGATAGACTTTTTTGTTATTTTGAGTTCTTGCTGTGGAGATTTCTTTGTTATTCCTTCTCTCGTGATTTTTTGCCAGGCCGACTCACCGGATGGTTGGCAGGCATTGAATCAGTCAGAAAGTCATCTTTACAACGAATATAAAGTAACGAAGTTGTTGTGTTGGCAGCATGCTTCCTTTATGTGTTTGTAAAATGTTGGAGAACTGGTCATCTGAGCGCAGAGGTGCAGAGTGGCCCCTGCATCCCTGTCACTTTTCTCACAAACGGCTGACCAGCTCTCGAATATCGGTTAATTGTGGTTTTGTGGTGGAACAATGATTAATTTACAATACAATTGAGTCAACTCGAACTTAAGAGGACAATCAATCAATAATTGGACTGTGAAGTCAAATGTGTTGTCCCTACTTCAACTTTTTTCCTAATTGGACATATTCAGGTTGGATCAGCCATGCCTAACGCACCGCTGATGATTCATGGACCACCGGGACCACCCGGTCCTCCAGGTCCAATGGGACCGGTCGGTCCCGAAGGAAAACCTGGAATTAAGGGTGACCGTGGTTTGCCTGGATTCGATGGAGAGAGCAAAGTACGTTCACTCATTTCATTCCTTTTTTGATATAGTAACAGCCTTAGTGTCATGAGCCCATCAGGTTCGGCCCACCTTCTGTCTCGGGTAGCCCCGTCCCCTGCCCTCCAAGGAAGCTACGTAGGGAAACCCCTATAAGATGAGGACAAGCATTCATCTGGGCACCTTGTCCATTTCTCGATACCTTCGGCTAGTCTAAAACTCAATGGAAATGTGCTTAAGGTCGGTCCAAAGGGAGAACATGGAGAGCCTGGACGTGACGGTGTTCCAGGATTACGTGGACCTCCAGGAGAACGTGGAGAAAAGGTACGATTCTGCCTCAAACCAAGTACTCAACCTTAACATCAGTTTTTTTTCCAATGGTCCAAATGCACGTTTATTTTTTGTTCATTTCTGGATGTTGTCTTTCTTCTCAGTTCTTTTCTCATTTTTCGTGAGTCGTTGTGTTGTGTAGGGTGAACCTGGAGCTCCAGCTGCATACAGTCATCGTCATCACGTCCCAGCTAGAGTTATTCCCGGTCCACCGGGACCTCCAGGGCCACCAGGAATACCAGGAGCACCTGCACCTCCAGCCCCTCCTGCATTTTGTCCTCCAGGACCACCCGGTGCCCGTGGACAAGATGGACGACCCGGACAACGTGGGCCACAGGTAGTGTGACTTTTGTGTTGTGTTCGTGACATTAATTGGCATCTGTAGTGAAGTGGTCGTTAGCACAATTTCTTTTCGTGAATTTTTGTAATTTTTCCTATTTTCTATGAGTTACATCGCTAACATGATAAGTCCTACTATGGTTGACCGATCTCCTTTTTTCCCTTTCAAATACCTAATACCCCATTAAAAATTAACTTGTTTGCAGTCTTAACTATAAATTCTTTCTACAAAAGCTTCAATCACTTCAGTGCATCGGTTTAGGGTGAAAAGGGTGATCGAGGTGACCCGGGAATCGCTGGACCCCGTGGTTATCCAGGATCTCCGGGAGGATCTGCTACGCCTGGTGGAAAGGTTCGTTGACTCTCAAACTATCTAGAAACCCGATTTCCTGCTGTTTTTGTCATTGGCATTTCTTCAAGATTGTTATGGGACCTCCTGGACCACCTGGCAGAGACGGGAGAAATGGCGAAAAGGGAGAAAAGGTTGGTTCGTCCATCTTTTTCACCGATCATTTCAAGAATGAAGGTCTCTAACCAAGCCACATTTTGTGTTTCACACGCTCAGGGCGTTATTTCGGTCCTTTTTTGTTATTTAGATCATCCTTGGAGGGATACGTATCCCTTTCGCCCACCCATAGACGAAATAACGCCTTCAGACTCGTTTATTGATGATGTATTAATTAATTATTGCTGAAAGTGTGGCTGTTGCTAACCCGACTAACCTTGAAAGTGTTAACTGGCTATTTCAGGGTGAAACGGGAGCGCCGGGTCCGATGGGACCACCGGGTCCCGAAGGAATGTCCGGCAAAAGAGGACGACGAGTAAGCATAACCATTCAATTCGTTAAGAGAATGTATGCACCCGGTGGTTCAATAGGGCCACCTGAGGTCGCGTGAGGCGGCGTCAAGGAATGTGCATGTGCTGCGTATGCGTCGCGGTCGTTAGTGTCAGTGATGTGTGCTTGGCCTAGATTTGTGAATAACAGTGTTGTTCATTAGTGTTGAGTTGTGACTGTGATTTTTATAGAAGCAGTCGTTCGGTGAGTCTGAACACTTTTTTAAACGCCAATTTCACCAATCTTAAAAGACCAAAAATCGCATTGAAAATTACATTGCTCACTAACTTCCGTTAGCCACCCCAAGACGCGCGCGGTCGCGATGCGGCCTCTTGTTTGGTGGCGCGACACCTACTGTGCTTGACAAGATGTAAGCCAGCTCTCACCTCGCTTTGAATTGCAATCGGAAATTCAAACAGCTATAGTACTGACAAAAACTGGTAATCGCCTTACTCAGATGGAAGCATGCAGAGGTCAATAAGCATAGGAATAACCGGAAAGACATTGCTTCCTATTTTTTCACGAAGGCCGCTTTGCGACCGCTCGCGTCGCTACTGTACCAGTTCCGAGACTGATTACACATGAAAAATCCCCGTTTTGCAAACAGAAAGCAAAATTCCGATTTGTTATTCAATAAATAACCGTAGAGTAGGAAGAAATATAACTAATATCTTGAATTTCACTATAGCCCTTGCAAAACCTGCTCCTATCTTCTATCTATTTAAGGGGAAACCTGGAGAACCGGGAGTTTGTAATCAGACTTGTCCCGTCTCGAGAGGATTGGAGGATCCAGAAGCTCTCGTTCGAGACCTGATGCCAGTTCTAAAACGAGAACTAACGGAAATTCGTATTAAACATGGATATCCAGGACCACCAGGTGTAGCTGGACCACCGGTAAGTAACGCATACCAAGTTCCGACAAGACCTACTGTAATTTCTTTATCTTCAGGGACCTCCAGGGAAACTTGGACCAGCTGGACCACGTGGACCACAAGGTCTACCGGGACATGCAGGCGAGAAAGGTGATCGAGGAGAGATTGGACCACCAGGACTACCAGGGCAACCGGTACGTTACTACGCTTCCCTTTTGCAACTGGCATTACTGGCATCTTTCATAACTTCGTCACATCCACTTCCTTCAGGGTCAAATGGTCGAGGTTCCAACATCGGGTAATACAGCTATACCGGGACCTATTGGTCCACCTGGACTTCCTGGACCGCCTGGAGAGAAAGGCGAACCCGGAGGTCCGGGCCTTCCTGGACAGCCTGGATCTCTTGGATTACCGGTAATTTTAGGTTTTTCACCATTTTTTTCAATTGTTCATAAGTCCTAAGTCCATCAATACCGATCTATTTCAGGGCCCCCCTGGACCGATGGGCTTACGCGGATCTCCGGGAGTCGAAGGACGACCGGTGAGTACCGCTTTCCCCGATTGTATTCGAATTACTTTAGTTATCACTTTCGGCTTTCAAGATGATTTTTAATATTAATATTTGTTAACCAATTTGAGTGTCTTTTATGATTGACGGCTGGCGATCGCCTCAGCCTGAGGAGTCCCGGTTTTCGCTTCGGATTGGAATGTTTCATCGTTTAATTCTTTGTGGTAAATTGCATGAGCACGTCAGATTATCGAATCGTACTGTAACTTAATCGATCGCATCTGTAGATCATACTTGTGGTTGGTGGTAGCAGTAAAATGGCTATGAAACAAGACCGTGTTGTCTGCTCGTTGTCCGCTCGAGCGCTTATCTAATTGTGAGTCCAAGACGTATTCGGATGTTGTTCATTTCAGGGCAAGCAAGGACCAATCGGACCTAAAGGCGACCCTGGACCAATGGTACGTTCACTTTATACCGAGATAATTTAACATGAAGATACTGGCAAAATTAGAGTGGGCCTCCCACCAAATGCGTGGCAATTCAAAAATGCGCCGGGTCATCCAGTCTGGGTTCAGGGAGGGGGGTGAAGTCGACATCACGAGGATATGAGTGTCGTACTCTGGGGCTGAGATACCCAGCTGCGAGCTTTCCAGCGTGTTTTCTGCTGCGATTCAGCTGGCCAGCGAAAAGTCCGTTTACACTTTACCGTGCGCAAGCGAGTCCGCCCGCAAGCAAGTACGCGGACATCTAGCCACGCCCTCTCCAGAGAACACAGCAGCTGTTATACAAGAGATATCTGACTACAGCTTTGGAAAACTCCACTGTATACAAAAGCATTTCAGGGACCACCAGGTTCCCCCGGACACCCTGGAGCACCTGGAGAACGAGGAGCAGACGGCAAAGACGGTATGCCTGGAGAGAAAGGAGATCAGGTCAGTTTAATTGGTGAAACCTGTCTAAGAAGTTGATTTCAATACACCTGAAGCTCTTCCTCTAGGGCATACCTGGTCTGGATGCACCGTGCCCAACTGGCCCTGATGGTTTGCCGCTACCGTATTGCNCCCCGGACACCCTGGAGCACCTGGAGAACGAGGAGCAGACGGTAAAGACGGTATGCCTGGTGAGAAAGGTGATCAGGTCAGTTTACTCGGTGGAATCTTGTCATCAAAATGGGTTCAAAACATTTGCAAACTCTACCTTCAGGGCATACCTGGTCTGGATGCACCGTGCCCAACTGGCCCTGATGGTTTGCCGTTACCGTATTGCTCTTGGAAACCGATGGAGGTAGAGAATGTTCAAATCTATTCTCAATCACCTTTTTCTCAATGTCATAATATTCGTTTGATGCCAGATTTTAGCAATGGCCAAGTGATCGAAGATCGCTTTCACTTGACACATTAATTACTGGCTGTAATTAATGTGTCAATGCTTCTTCAAAGTACGTTTTGGTCTAAATGCTCATCCACAAAAGGGATCAGGCTCATTGTCACGTGTATAACTCTGAGAGGTATAATAGTAATGGCTTCATGTAGAAATGAATAAACAAACCCCAAAAGGTCTAATGTAAGCGTGCGTATGCGGTGCGCGACATGACATCACAGTTGTGGAACCGATANTGGTAAATGGGACGGAGAACGCTCCGCCCTCAGTGAGTCAAAGTTTGCTTTTGTCTTCTCCAAGGCAATTGCAGAAGTGGATAAAACTAATCGAAGAGACTGCCCTGTGTCACATGATCGACTAGAAGATACGACGCTAAGGTTGACATCTTGCCAGTGGTTTGAGCGCTCTTCCTTTCCCGAATGGCTGCTTTCATACTTCGACGTGCGTGCCGGCACGTAGGTGGAATCGCGCGTACAATCTTGCGTGCTGCGTGCGAGCGGCTATGCGAAAGCGGCGCTAGAGCGATGTTGACAACATTGGACGCCGATGGATCACGTCCAGTGCTGTCACACAGTTAATTAGCGCCACCGTCGCATAGCCGCTCGCACGCCGGACGCAAGATTGCACCTGCGATCCCACCTGCGTGCCGGCACGCACGTCGAAATATGAAAGCGGCCAATAGTGTCGCCGTGATGTCATGGACACGCCTGTGCGCAAGGAACCCCACCATGAGGCCAACGTCATTTTAATGAATTCTGAAAACAAATTAAATAGAAGCCACAGAAAGCCGAATAACGGTAAATGTTGGTGTTCCCGGAAGAAAAGGGATTCACGAGCAGCCACATCATTAGTACTGGTTTCGTTAGTAAAGGTATAACTGGGATTTTTTGAAGTACAACAGTATCAATGTCGGTTTGTTTCTGTTCCGAAATTCACAAATATCGAAGAGGTTCTGAACAGAACTTAACGCCTGTAGTATCATTACCATGGGATTTCAGGGCAACGTACGAGTGGACTATGGGTAAAAAAATATTCGATGTGTGATGATTATTTGCTTCTACTAACACACTACTAACAAATTTTAGTCCGACGACAACACCATCGAACGAACGGCGTCAACAGGATTCTGATGAAAGCGAACGTACTAACCTTCACTCTAACCTAAATCGTATGTTTTTTGTTGGACAAACTATTCAACCGGTGGCTTGAAGCGGCGCAATAACCCTTCCCTGGAAAGGCTACTTCTTCGTAGTGCTGCTGCGGCCTTCAGATTTCCCATGGACCGAGGTACACTTGTAGGACTATTCCAAACGCGAACGCACCGCATTAGTTCACGCGGATTTGATCCTTCTATAATATTTTTCAAAATGCCGCGCCGCGTGTACCAGTGCGTCGCGTAAATGGCAAACGCCGGTCATCGGAAAGTCTGAATTCCGCCATGAGGCTTTCGAAGGTCGCACCACTCCGCAATTGCGAACTACCGAGACTGGTCGACTCAAAAGGGCGTGTATATTATGACTGGTATAAGCTTTTGAAATATTGCACGGCACATCACACAGTTTCAGAGTTCAGAACATAAGCCGTCGTGTTATCGGCTTGTAACAATTTCCCAGTAATTAAGTAACATTACCAATATCCATTCAATTTTAGGGCAAAAACGGGGACACCTGGGAACGGCTATGAAGGTATTCGCTATGAAGAGCTATCACCAGATGTCTGGAAGCCATCGTCATCTTGATGAATCTCAAATTGCAATCATTGCCCGTGAATCTCTTTTATACTTCACAGCTTTCTCATAGGGAATTTCATTTATATTAACATTTCCGTATTTTTTCCTGCCACATCAATCGATAGATATCGATTTGGAATTTTTTTTTGTTTTGTTTCGATTTCGTCGCCGCTGCCCAGTCCCAATCATGATCTTATCATTCTTTGATGTAAAAACTCACTTTATTTGCATGTAGTCATTAATATGTTGTGATTTTGAGCGCTATAATTTTATAGATACCGTTTAACGGTGACGCGATCAGGTGTGTGAATTTGCGTTTTCTGTATTATCATGATTGATAACGAACTCGTCCCATTTACGCGATTTCAGAAAACACTACCAAATTTCTGAACTGATCATAACTGTTGCTTTTTAACGTGCTCAATTCTTCATTGATATATTGCCCCTGAATCGGTTGACACTCGTATGTTTGTATTATATGACGATCTTTTCTGATCGAAAACAAACTGAAAATATGATTTTATTAATTTATTCTCTTCACAATATAAAACTTTGAGCTCAAAAAATGAATTCTTTTCAGAACTCGATAATTTTTAACAACGTATGATTATAGTCTACACCTCGTCTTATCGCGTCTGAAACGTTAATTCTAGGTTCCCGCAAAAGATCGATTCCGAATAGGTGTTGGAGTCGCTTCGCGACCGCGTGCACCACGCTGTTAGTATTCAGACGAAAATCTCCGAGTATAGACTGCACAATTCACAATTCTCTTTTCTTCGTACAACAAATGTAGAAAATGATATACAATGGGTCAGTTAACAAGGGTTTTACCCGTATTCTAAATGAAACCGATTATATCAAACACCAAATCAGCTATAAAGGGATCGAAACCGTCAAAAACTACTAATTGCTACCGCTTCTCAAAAGAAAGGCGAGAAATGGACCTCAGATAGATATTCTCTTTGTAACTAAAAGTTTGATAATGAAAATCACAGAGTAAAGTGGTATCATAAACGGACAAGACGGGCAAATGATGGCAAAGGTGAGTAAGCCGCACCGGCGAGTTGTGAATGGCAGAGATCAAACAGAAAGAAACTATAGTCACCGTAGGAAGTTATTACCTTATAATCATACAATATTAGTTGAGTCATCGTCCAGGAAAGAATGTGTAAGCAGCATCACCCGAGAAAGAAAGCCCATTTGTTCTGTATCGCTCTACGAATTTCAAGCTAAAAAATGAGCTCCAAAGCGTAAAGTACAATGCTATTAGCTATCACAAAATATCGTGAAATCTTGAAGTGGGAAATTCGCAGGGAAAGGAATCGCTGCTATAAGCTGATGCTCAACCAACTTCTACTTACGCCAATTGATAAGCACACCTTTTTGCGATCTGCACACCAATTTTGTCTTTTTTGGGACATCTGGGCATGTCCCAAAAAAGACAAAATCTTCGTGAGATGATCTCCCTACAAGATGACCGGTTGTTTTTTCGCCCACATCTGCATTACGGCAGCAGGTCATCGCTCCAAATGGAGCAAGTGGGTCGAATAGGTAACAACTTCAAAAAGCGTGCTGTTATATAGAGACACCCCACTTAGAACCTCTTTGTTCAACGCTTGGAAGTTTGAGGAAGGATTGTAACGATGGGGCATAGTAAAAGACGCCTTGTTTGAACAATTTCATGACTTTTCTGAGCTAAGGCAAAACTGCTGGCAGTTTCTGGGACAAGAGGTACTCTATTACTTGACGCCCCCTTAGCTTTACCGGAAAATCTTGAAGTAGAATACCCCAGCAGAGGAAAGATTGGCACAAATAATCGATAAATCAGAGCCAATCCATTTACAAAAGACAAATTACACGAGAATCCTCACCTCATGAGAATCGCATACTGAATTCGGTTTGAGCTAACCGATCCATGCAGAGGCAAACATTCATTGCCGTTAATCTAGATGAAGGATTTGCTGACCAGCATTCACGCATAACTCTTGCCATGTCACTGAGCACCTGAGAACAAAAAGCAAGGGTAACATTAAACGTACATTAGTACACCTCAACGAAAACTACAGACGAGGATTCTCGAAAATGTCGGTGCTTACTCAGCTCGGACCACTGATCCCAAAACCTGTAGTCATCCAGGCGATCAAAATATGTCAATCAAGAATGATATGAATTCTGGGCAATAATTTCTTTTTCGGAACCTTGAAAGTCAGTGATCCGACTGAACGACTTATAAAAGAATGGCAGCAAGTAATAGAGATGCAAATTGCTTCCGCTTCCCTGCCCTCTGAGAAATTCAATGCGTAATGAAAATTTTGGCTACAGGCGCAATCACTAATCAAGTCAATGATAAATGAGTGATCCCAGATCCACAGGAAGACTAATCGGGCATGATTCTCGCACAGCTCAATACCTTGCGAAGCAGTCGCGATGAAGTTCAGAAAGTTGTTGCACTTTTCTATCTATTTCCACAAAAAAAGCATTCTAAGAAACTAGAAAATTTTTCGCACTAAGAAAGTAGAAATGCAAGAGATATACAGGCATGGTTTAGAAGAATAACTTACGCTGTTGTTTGACCAATGGGCAGATTCATATGGCCGGACATTTTGCACGACAACTACTTCTCGCATTTCCCGTATTGTTGGATCTCTCGAGACTTTATCGTAATACGGTAGTGATTCAGCAAATGAGGAAGCTGGCCCTTCAAAAACCTCACGGTTTATTAAGGCATCACATGAGAACAGATAGGAATAAACAAAACTGAAAAAAATTAAATATGCCTTTGATGGCACGAAAACGACCAAAACGTACCAGCTGAACAGGAAGTACGGCGTGTGACCTCCCAAATTACCAGTCCAAACGCATACATGTCAGCAGTGCGATAAAATTCAAACTTTGTGGATTCCACTTTTTCATCCAGAATTTCGGGTGGAAGATAGCGCTGAATGTATGCAGTTGTTGCGCGTTCAATGACTAGCTTTCAATAACACATTCCGTTTCGATAATGATTTCAAATTCCTTCGAACTCTCATCGAAACAACACGTTCAAACATTAGCCATCTAGAGAACATCTCAAATAGGTTGGAAAGTCGACGAGNGAGATGACTCAAAGAGTGAAAAGAAAATAGAAAACATGTAGAGATTTCCGTTCGGACTCACCACTGTACCACATTTATTGCTATTCGGCAAGCTTATATGACCGGCTTCGTACCGAACAGCTAGCCCAAGATCTGCTATTGCACACGAAAGATCAGCCTTGACGAGAATATTCTTGCTCTTAATGTCACGATGAGCAATGGCTGGCTTTTCTAGAAGAAGAAAATGACAAAAGAATAATAAAAAAATAAAAAGCTCCCCACATCAAACAGGAAACTAACTTTGAATTCCCATTAGTTCAGTGTGCAAGTAGGATAGACCATTTGCGATTCCGCGGATCATGCGCACAAGAGTCATTAGACTGATAGTCTGCAACACATACGGCTAGCTATTTCATTATAAGCTCAGTTCTTCATTTGATTTCACACTATTTGGATTGCAATACTATTAAGACTAGCGCCACTTTGTCAATGGATTTATAAGGGAAAAAATCAACGAAATAAAGAAGTTACTGTGGTGGAGAGATAATCGTATAAAGATCCATGACTGTGATATTCTGTAATAAGCCACAACTGCATCGCACTGCCAGTGTCTGAAAAGGTCATTCAAAAAAAAAACCTCAACAAAAGACAAAATGATCATAAAGTCCGGAATTCAATATTTACAATAAACGCAGATAAACCATTCACGAAATGCTAATTAACAAAACTGAATTGAAGAAGAACTACTGCTTTAGACACCTACACACCTTTCCTATCGCTTGCGTAGAACTGTAAAATATTTGGATGATGTAGCATATGGATCTGGAAAGTTTCCACTTCATGAGACCACGCTCCTTCATCACGGGACGAGAAGATCTTCACTGCTACTATATCGCCCTTCCATGCGCCTAGCCAGACCTACAAAAAAGAGGTGCAGCTACATGAAAAATGCCTTGCAAACGAAAATTGAACAGATGTGCGTAAAAGTCCTACGTGAATGCAATTTCCATTTTCGCTTTAAGTGAGAGATTAAATGTAAAGAAAAAGCAGAAGCAGAACTTCTCCCAGGTCCACTGTCCTTTTTTTTCAGAGAGGAAGCCAGAACAATGAGAACCTCCTTTTTGGCAAAAAAGATATGTAAGAAAATGCTGATCACTCACATCTCCAAACCTTCCTTGTCCAATTTCCCTTACCAACTCGATCTGGCGTGCTATGTTACGTTGGGTGAGCAACGGTAGACCTGTAAGCAAATGCGCTGCTAACCTCCATGTTTTAAAAACATCAAAAGGCAGAACTGCAGCAGAAGGTCAACTCAAAAGAGTGGTACTAACCAGAACCAGAACCAGATCCAGCATCGGTTGATTCAAGCCCTTTCAATAATAGAAGTTGGATAGCAGGAGCTGATGTTGTTGTTACTTGCGACATAGTCTCAATCATTGGAACCTCATCATCTCGACTGAAAAATATAGAATTGACAGACACGAAAAGACATAAAGACAAATAATCTAAAGAGAATTGAGAGTGATAAAATGTCAACAAGAAGAAGTCATGAGTGAGAGGCTAAGCATCCAAGAAGAATTACAGCGAATCAACTATAAAGTTGAGTTTATTTATAGATAAGCTACTACTTACGGAGATATGTGATTTAAACCAGTGGTCATTCGAGGACCAAATCGAAAATATTTCCTTGTTGCTGTTAGAACTTTTTGATTTCGTAGGAGAACCACACCAGCAATACAAGCGCAACAAAACTAAAGTACAGCACTCAATAGCAATACATAAGGTCATGGGGAATTCAGAAACCGCTAACCAAAATCACAACTCCAAGAGCAATCCATCCCCATGGGAAATAAACATCGTCGATTAATATATTGGGCTGAAACGGATTTACTTGAAATAGAATGCACCGCATAACAGTTTGTTTTATATATCCTACTTTAATCGATACGTAGACCACACTGCACTTTGGAGAAATGGGACTCCACCTTCTCATTAGAATAGTGGTGAAGGGCCAGAAGATTCTTCAAATGTATATAGTCCCTAACCTAACACATACACTTTTTTGCATTGCTGTGAAATCCAGAGGTTTCGAGTAAATGGTAACTTCTCTACCTAGCTTCACACAGGTGTCCTCTAGTAACTTCGTGTGGAACAATCATAACTCATTGACATAAAATTCATAGATGTCGCAAAAAAATCTGTCAGAAGATTTTAACCTTAAGATTCTAAGGCTTATAAATCAGAGAGCCGAAATAGGCAAAACAGCTTTAGCTCGAAACGTAGTAAGAATAGCTGCTATGTCCAGAAGCATGCTTACCTCTAAAGCGATATCTTCATCACAAAACGAATAATTGCAGCACGTTACATGGAATTTTGGGTGAGGGAGACAGGGAATTGGAATTGGGTACATCTCTTTATGATCAACACATCTGCAACATTATCATTACAGAGTGAATTCTAGCAGCTATTGTAATTTGAACTACTATGTTGGTCTCCTTTTTCGCCGCCTAACATCTATATTCAAAATAGCCCCAGATATGCTTTATCATGCAAAGGCGATTAAAAAAAACAGCTTTACTAAGGCGAAGAGAGCAGCTACTTACCCTACAGACATGCGAAAATTGTGATACTCATCAAAAACTTTGAAGCATCGACCTCGCTTAGCCCTACATGTTCCCTGAAACGAACATAACTAAGACAGGAAAACAAAGTACAATCAAATTACTTACTCTGTAAGTATCCCCAAGTAAATGCACGATTTCAGCATCACATAAAGGACCGTTACAATTGCAAATGAGATCGGTTTCATGAACTGCTTCGTCGGCACCTCAAGAGAATTCAGTTTAAAAGCGACTTATTAACGAAGACGGTTTGATACCAGTTGAAAACTAGTTAGTTTACACGAGAACACTTTGATGTCAGGCGTCCTCAGAGCTACTTTTGTAACCTTTCAATTTCTACAATACATACAAGCTGAGTTAAATATTGTCGTCATACAATCCTGATTTTTCTCAGCTTTCTTATTAAGTCAACCCTCGTTCTGTTCTCGTTTACCCCATCAAAAAAAAAAAGTTTCTTCTGCTCAACAGCCCCTATGATAAGAGTAGTGTTTTCACAAAAAAAAAACCACGTGTCAATTCGCCGCATTCCAAGCGGAAGGAAAAAAAATCCAAGGGAAGGTGTACCCAAATCCATCAGTAAATAACGAAACGCGAAAAAAGAAGGGGATGCTTCTGTCACGTGCGATACTTCTACCTGCTTGCAGGTAAGCTAGCTCGACCATGATGAGCGGAAGGAGATGTACCTAGCATAACCCACAGATCAAATTCTGTGGGAACCATCCACTCTCATTTCCTATCATTACTTCTAATTAAGAATGAAAGACATAAACCTTCACACAGGATGGTCATAACCATCAAAAATCTGAAGAATTTCAAATACGAATTTTACTTGAAAAACTCTTCCGCTGAACTGCGCACTCTAGCCTAGCCAATCCATTACAAACTCAAGACATGCTTGACGTCTTTCTACTGCATTTTGGCGAAATAACCTAATCAAGATGATCGAAAATAAACACGCTCTACAAACCAGTTTTCAAAAAACTGCTCCAACGCCTAAGAAATGAACCAACCAAAGATATGCGTTCTCATTTCATTGAGTATTGCGTTTCCGCGAGCAATACGAGAAGCAACCAACGAGTTCAGTGCGCTAGTGGTTTTGCTTATGATTGTATCCTCAAGAGAATATGTGACATTACTATCCAACGCACTCGAATTTGTCACAGAGTTATCCTGAGCGTTAATAAACGTAAGATATTCTGAAAGTTGACATTATACAGTGGTAATATTAGTTTGTTCGATGTTATTTTAAAGACTTACGGTAAAAATAGACGACAATAACTGTACAAAAAATAACGCGAAATGGCTTCATTTTGTGGCCGGTGTAGTGATAAAACGAAAATCCTTTAAACCTCTGATTGCTCCCTGAAAACTCAATCATCAACGATGAAAGGTGGAAAGGAACACAACAATCAGCTAGCATGCTAAATATAAATCGCTGAGCCTGTAGGGACCACCCGACTGGTGGCGGAAAATCACCTCAGCCCATAAGGGCTAATATGAAAATATGAAGGAAACAGTAACTGAATCTTTGATGCCTTTGTATATTACCAGTAGATGCCTAGTATTTATGTGTGTCAAGTAGATTATAGCGGATTGTAGATGGAATGTGACCGAAAGCGATAACACGCACAACAACTGATAAAGCAACAAGCTGATAGGGTCAAAAAACCATTAAATATGTTGTAGATTTTGCGAACACCTCGAAAAACCTTTCAAACGTAGTTCAGACCATCCGGCGGGATTCGGGAAGCCGCTTTCTAGAACGTAGTAGAGACCTAAAAGAAGCGCACAAAGTAACATGCTACTAGCTGCATTTATAGTACCGACGCCGACGCCAGCGTCGGTCGCTAATAGATTCGATATTCTTCGATATTCTTCTAATAGATGAGTCATGCATGCTGTATAAACGGCTTTTTTAATCAACAAAAATTCCCATATCGATCGATGGCTGAAGCTAGCGTTGTCTCTGTACCATGAATACTGCCACTAGGATTATTATGCCTTTCATTTCAAAAGCATAATTTTGCACCAAAGAAGATCGTGATGGGTAGAAAGTGAATGTAAACACGTGGTAACTTAAAGAAAGTGATAACAAATGATAAGAGGTATCACAGAGCGGGTGTCGCTGAGCTCTCTGCACTTTTTCAATGTGACGATTAAGCGCTTTGCATTCAACAGTTATCATGAACATCAACATGATTTTTGCGTTCTTTTTGCGTCACATTCCCTCCCTTTATTCAATATTCCGGTAACAATCTTGTGAGTACCCTCAGAAGAGGAGCAATTTCACCTTCAATTGTTGTTAACAGACTTTAGCAATGGAGCGAGGAGGATCCGCGTAAATAGAGAGTCACAATATTTGTATACTTTATAGACAGAAGTACTGGAATCGACAAAATAAAAAAGATGCAGAGAAAAGTCACTCTAAAGCGGCAGTAACGTATCTTGGAGAAGTGCATTCGTAAAAAACGTGATCAGCCGAAGTTGAACATTGAGTGCTTCTCTGAATGCTTCTCCTCGAACGCAACCAGTAGGACGATCGTTTTACAGTAGTAGAAAGGCAGAAAAAGCTGAAGTCTTTGGGTACGGCAGAAAAAGCGCTTTTCACAACTAACGTTGTGGACAGCATACTTTAAAATTGCAATGCCCATTGAAAGGTAAATTGCACAACGGCAACAAACTCTCATTTAAGAACTCTGGCAAGTACCTTCACACCTAGAAATCCGTTAAGGTTGCCCTATAGAATAGAAATATATCAGGTTACGATAAAACGACAAATGAGCTGAAACCCCAATTCAACTACCGTGGATCCGAGGAACCGTGCTAACGATGAAAGAAATTATGCCGGAAACCTCGAATTTTTCGTGCAATTGCGTACTATACGCAACCACAGTAGTAAACACGCCTAACCTAACCTGCAATTGTTGGGTTGGAGGTAGCATAGGTCTCACTCATAGGTCTCACTCTTCTTGGGTTAAGTTGATTTACCCAAAATGGCTTCAGATTATAGCAGATGATCACCTCAAGCCAAAATAGTACATATTTATTTACTCCGGGTTTTACGTCCACCATTGAAGGGTCTCCCCAGCCAGCTACCCAAAGGTGTTTTACTTCGTCCCCTCAGTTTTGATAAATGTGTGAGGCCTAGCTGATGTAGGGGACTATCGCGGCCCCGGCTGACAAGACGAGCAGTTGGTTAATGGATACAAGGATCAGTAGTGGAGAAAACTTAGTCTCCAGAAACATCCTTTCGTGGGTAAATTCCCGTATAGACCACGCCCATTGTCGCAAAGGTGGCGCAAATTCGTGACTGCACACCTTGGGTGATCCTTGTTGCTGACGTGTTGCTGTTCTTGTTTGTTGGGTCAGGGTGAACTTGGGCGTTTTCATATGCTCTGCTCTTGTTGCTTCCTTTACTCTCTACTTATTGTACTTGTAAGGAATTGAGGCAGTATTCTTGAAAAACCTAGATGATGTACATAAAATTCAATAGCGAGAGTTTCAAGAGATAAAGATCTCCAACGAATATTTTGGCTTCAGGGTTTTTCTTTACTAAGTGTATACCGCGCACCTTCCCCTTCCTGACAATCTCTTTAGTACTTATGCAAATGGCCTAGGAAAATATCCATAGCATCAAGCCAATGATCATTCCTCACCTGAGCAAATAACCATCATCTCTTGTTTGTACAGAAGCGGTGACGCACATATTTTGTTAATGTATATGGTTTAGCCTTTATTTGCTTTCTGTGAAAACTATGCGTGCATGCCTCAGTTTTTTTTTCTCACACCTTATTTGATAGGGAACTGAAGTGGATTGAAAATTTCAAACGGAAGACGTTGCAGAGCAAACAAGTACGGAAACTTATCAGGGAACCAGGTTCCTACAGAGATTTGGGGGAAGTGCGATTCGTGCGATTCTGAGTGCGCGCGGCGATTTGCGCGGCGAAATTCGTGATCATTCAATCAACTCCGGCGCCTATCACTGGGGCACAAACTTGAAGTAGTATACTTTAGTAGGTTCGGACAATCCTACTAACCTAGTTTACTTCGAATATTTGCCCCAATGATAAACGCTGTCGTCGTCCAAATCACACCGAATTTCGCCGCGCAAATCGCCGCGCGCACCCAGAATCGCACGAATCGCAACACACCCCAGAGATTTGGGTGTGTGCCGATTCGTGCGATTCTGGGTGCGCGGCAAATTGCGCGGCGGAATTCGTGAAGATTCGAACGACTCTGACGCCTATTATTGGGGCACAAACTTGAAGTAGAATAGTTGGGTATGGTCAGCTGATCCTACTAATCCACTCTACTTAAAGTTTGTGCTCCATTAGTAGGCGTCAGAGTCGTTCGAATCATCACGAATTCCTCCGCGCAGTTTGCCGCGCGACCCAGAATCGCACGAATCGTGCGTCCCCCCAGAGATTTGATCGTAAAGTAAAGTGCAGCGGACGCAAACCTCTACAGGCAGCGGTACCACTACTTGGGGGGACGTGNACGTGCGATTCGTGCGATTCTGGCGCGCGCGGCAAATTGCGCGGCGAAATTCGCGATGATTCAAACAACTCTGGCGCCTATCACTGGGGCACAAACTTGGAGTATAGCACTTTAGTAGGATCGGAAAATCCTACTAACCTACTTTACCTCAAATTTGGGCCCCAATGGTAAACGCTGCAGCCGTCCAAATCGCACCGAATTTCGCCGCACAATTTGCCGCGCGCATCCAGAATCGCACGAATCGCAACACACCCCCACTTCTTGGCACAGCTCCAGTTCAATGCACAACTGCCTAGCTGTCACATATACGACGCATCGTAAAGGGCCGCTGGGCATACTTATGAGAATTCAATCATCACCAAACAATGGAGTGCCCCGCCGAACACACTAAGCGGAGGAGCACCTGTGTTGGGTGGGACACCCAACTGTGGAAGGATGAGGGAGTGTGGTGGAGCTACGACTTGCTCGGAGATGGACATATAGAGAGTCTGTAGAGTAGGGTTCTGGTACCGAATTTTCCTCTTCATGCAGAGCAGCACAGTTTGTTTGGTGATACATTGTCAGTTGATTCTTGGGAGACCTTCGAGGCATAGGAGCTTGGAGCTTCTTGTAGATCTCGCTTTGGAGGTGCATCTATGCGGTTCGACTTGAACTCAGAGTCGTGTTGACGTTTGAATGCGATCTTGACCCTTTCAAAAGCTCTCAATGTACTTCATATAAGACGCTGTCTTCGGAGAAATTCGAGACCCAGTTGGTTTCGTCTGATGGTAGCTTTGGTCTGCTGTATGCGTTATGACGACATCGCTTTGGCGTTACACTTCTTATGCCCCTTTTCCATGGTGCATACAATTTGCGGTTCAGCTACGTCGAATTGGTTCCATAGAAATGCTCGATTTCAGGTAAATAACCTAAAGGTGGTCCAAAATGATACGCACAGTGCTTCTAGCGCTGTTACTGGCAAGCAGTACTACTGGCGTTGAGCATGATTTCACTGTCGAGGTTCCACCTGGCAAGTTCCAGTGTTACTTTCAGCCCGTTGATACAACCAAGCATAAGTTCTTGGAAGTCGATTATCAGGTTAGTGAGTTCGTTATTATCGTTCTCAGGCTACCTCTTTCATTTTTCAACATTTTCATACCGCTTCCCCTTTTAGGTCGTTGACGGTGGTGATCTTAACATCAACTTCATGATTATATTGGGAGCTGATGTGCTAATTCAAGATAGCATGAAAGTTGACGGAAGTCATAGGTGTGCATACTCGCTCTTTCTTCTAGAAGCTATTGAACATAAATTATCAAGCCGTTCGTAACGGTCGCATTCATAGTGGGACGCCGACCTGTTTATCTTCCTCACCAACATAACATGTCCGCGTTTTGGTGATAATATCACCAAAACGCGGACAATGCTACCACTGTCCGATTTACAATATATTAGGCATCGGATTGGTCCTGTAGCCTAAATAGGTTTCACGTTAATGTAGTGTTTTATAGGCTGGATCTTCAACGTAGTGGAGACTATCAGTTCTGCTTTGACAACTCGTTCAGCTTCCAAGCTCGTAAGGTTTGTCCAGCTCCTTCAATTGTTTTCCAGAATATCTCTCGGAAATCTGTTGTTGTTCACCTCATTGTTTGTTCAAAACCAGCATTTCAGGTAGTTTTCTTCGAAGTCTTCCTTTTAAATGATCTTGGTCAACTAGATGAGATGGATTACATGAAGGCGGCTAGAAAAGATGAAGACCTAGAGAGGAGAATGGCAGATTTAGGGGTCACCATCGAAGGATTCCGTGTGAGTACTTGACAATTTCTCTTCAGTATTCGTTTTTAATACAATTCCGTGTCTTTTCTCGGGTCACTGGTGTCACCGATATTTCAGACCTCAGCCAATCATATAAAATCGCTGCTCAACAAGATCGAGTACCATCAGGTAGTTTCCACTTTGTTTTGATTACTGAAATGGTATCATTTTGAGTTATCAGCCTCCTACCTCTCTTTTTCAGGCACTTCTCAGAGCACATGAGGCCCGAGATCGTGCTGTAATGGGCGCTAACCTGGACAGAGTGACGTTTTGGAGTTGTACCCATACACTTGTAATGATGGGTGTGGGAGCTCTGCAGGTAATTGATTTAACTAGCAACTGTTTACAAAAGAGAAGATAGCTGGTTGCAAGATTTGAGCGGAAACTATTTTAAACGCCAACCCTACCGACATTTGTGACTATGCATTTACGGACAGGGCTTTTCAAAGTGATTTTTCTGTGGAAATATTGCGTCTCTTGCAGGTCTTCCTGATTCGGAGCTTATTTGAAGACAACTCAAAAGTGGGACGGCTTCTGAGAAAAGGAAAGAGTGCATACTGACCGCGAAGAGCTTGTTAATTTAAATGGGTTGAGTTCTGGGTTTGCCGTTTTTTCACGATTTTTTCAACAGATTGTGATGATTTGTATTCAAGCATAATAAGCAGTTTTACTTGCTTCTGTCGATTCTCGTCTTGCTAGCTGGTCTTTGGTGCAATGTTTTGCAGACTGACATTTTGTTGTTTTTCGTTGTTTTTTTTGAACTTGATTATGTGCCTTTCATGGAATACCGATGAAAATTTCTCTATCTTGTTGTACTGATTGTGCTATCCGTTGGCTGAACCTCGTACTTGAATTCGATTCTCATGCTGTGATAGGTCATCATCGAGAACCTGTATACAGGATGACCTTCCATTACGAACTTATGACAAAATAGACTTGTGCTTGACACTGGTAACACCATAGCTGTTCATTTCCATGGAGGAGGGGCTGCCTGGCGAATATTAGTCTTACATGTTTTGTGTTCAGGTGGCTTATTTTGATTTCAGGACATTCTTCATATGCGAGCGGACCTCTTACCGCTATTGCCGTTTGCTCTACTTATTTCATTATGTACGGCATTGATAAGAGAAGATGAAATCTACCTAACAATTCAAATACCCTCTAACAAGGTAAACAATGCAAATATTTCAAATCGAAAGAATTCTTCTTCATTTCTAGGTAGAGTGCTTCTATGTGCCTATCACAAAACCAGAATACAAAGCGATGGAATTTAGTTATACGGTAAGACCTTTGTCGTTGTAAATCCCAAATGGCTTTGGTAATTTGACATCTGTCGGACATGGCGCCTAGGAATTTTAATGTTCCATTTTCTTTTTTGGGTTTGAGAAGAATCGTTTCCATTTTGCTTCTTAATGTTTTTATTTTTGCAATATTTATAATGGTAATACGATACATTACTGTAACTCAATTTCGTTCATGGCTCCAGATATTAGTGATCGGACGCATTTTATCACCTTTCACATTTAGTAACATTGATTAACGAATTGTTTTAATTATAGTTGTAATTCTAGTGGTTTCTATTTGTAGTATTGAATTTTGAGGTGTCACGAGGAAGTAGGGATATTTCGCTAACAGTTCGCGACCCTAGAGATGTTGAAGTTGTCGCAGACGAAAGGAAACAATACCATTTCCATCGGTGATTATTACGTTTACTCATTCTTTTCTATTTTCTTTTGCATTTGTGCTCTTCTGTTCTTCATTTTCATTTTTTTTTTCAAAAAGAATTTACAAGGGTAACTGCGTAAATTTCAGTATCATGATTGGCAGTTCTGAAAACTCACTAGGTGACTATTCGATTTGTATGGACAACTCTTATAGTTATGAAAGTAAAGCTGTACGTTTTCACATTGTATTCAAGTTCCAATGCATAAAAAGAGATTTGAAACAAGCCACTTCCGTCTAGGTTAGCTTATCTCTGCATTTACTGGATGGAAAGGGAGACTACGTTAGAAGTCCATCGGAGCTCAGAGGTGGCGATCCACTTCAAATCACTGTTGACGTATTCGAGGTGACTTTCAGTAGCGAAACGCAACCTCATAACTCATCTAATGGATGTTACATTCAGACCTCCACGACTCGTCTGATGAACAATATTGATGCAGCAGATAGATTATTGGTTCAAATACGAGTCATCAACAACATAGTAAGCTATACATCTCCCATTTAATGTTCAATTACTTATTTGGTAGCATTCCGAGTTCCACAATAATTTCAATTTCAGGATCGTTCTATCGCAGAGCAAAACTTTGACAGAGTAAACTGGTATGGAACTCTGAACACTTTCGTCATTCTTCTCTCAGCGGTCCTACAGGTTTTTTTTTACTCAGTTTACTCTTTGAAACTCTAATTCTGGTTTTTCATCTATAGAATTAGTTCTCAGAGGATTCCACTAAGCGATATTACTTGGTTCTGTGAAAATGGTCTAAAAGAAGGGCCGGGCACCACAATGGGAGAAAAGGAACCTAAAGATGTAGTCGAAAGTGTATCGACGAACAGTCGATTGGAAGAAAATGGTTCATAGGGAAGGGAAGGATGGCGACTTTGACCTATCACATATTTTTTTTGACTGTTTAACTAAAGAAAATTGATCTAGTCAACTAAATTGTAATGTAAGGCCTAAAGTAGATCTTACACTAGAACAGAAAATGGGCATACCGCATTCCTGAACGAATTCTATTGAAATTTTTTCCGCATGCACTTATTGCCTTCATTTATTTACGATTTCGGTATAATGGGATGAAGATAAGTGTGAAAAGCATCACAAATGCTTACTGCTGCTCCAAAATCAACTTCTTGTAATGCTTTAAGCAAAAAAGGAATCTCGTGTTATAGGTTTTGCTCGTTCGAAGTTTACTCACCGAGGATTCAAGAGTTGGCAGAATATTACGCCATGGAAGAAAATAACTCATCGGATTCTTCTTGGCTTGGAACTGACTTGGAAACTTCTTATAATTTACAAATAGCGGTTGCGTTACTACCCGATGTCGCGTTTTTTTTTTTTTTATTTTCTTCTGTTATCTTTTTTCTAGATTCAAAGTCCTTTCCTTCTATTCATATATAAGACTTGCCAATCAGTCAAACTGCCCACTTGTGACAGCATTCTGTTTTCTTGCCTCTAACTTAACTGCCTATTTTTGCCGTTGACTGGTTTTTACTTACTACTCAAGCATCAATACCACTGTATTTGTACGGTTATGACTCTTTCACTTATCGCCGATTCCCGTCTGAAGTAGCCTCACTTAAATTTTTTCATCAATGGTGCTATATGTAGAGTAAATAGTCTTTAACGCAATCTTTCTCCAACAACCAAAATAAACTATCTTTTGAGAACTTTTTAAAAGGAAATGCTTCTGAAAATTAATAGTTTCAACAACTTAATAACAATAACAACAATAGCTTACAATTTTTCAAAGGATTGTCATAGTGACAGGGTAGGAAAGTGCAAAAACAAGCTCGGATCGACATGGTTGACATGTCGTTATATTTTGGTCAACGGATCGAAAACAGATCTCTATTAGGAAATTGAAAAAACTGAAAGTAAAAAGAATGCATTGACACTTTCCTGACATCCGTTTTGGAGCTTATCTCCATGAGATTAAATTAAGTGTTGTCAATCATGAAGGCGTAGCTGTCACTTTCTCGGCCTGAAACATGGGGTGAAAAAGATAAGTGCATCGTAGAATCACTTCCGATGAAATAACAGAAAAAAGCAGATGCGAAAACGCTACTGCCTTTTCGTGAACTATCGAAAAAGCTTGTTTTCCTTATCATTGAATACAATTGCTAAAATTACCAAACAAAAACAAGTGAATACCACTGGTAATGAATAAACTGTAATGGGAATGATACCTCTGATGGCTTTTGCTCCGTTTCGAGAGCATCAACAGCAGGAGCACCGTTTACTTGACTTTGACCCTTCTCGTCGCTTTTAGTATCAGCATCATGAACGGCTTCATTGGCAGCTTCCTCTCTGGCCTCATCAGCCTAGATCGATTATTGAATCGGCGATTTCAATAGACGAAACTTATGTGGTTGGAAAAAAGTGTGATCAAAAACTAAGCCAAAGTCTCTAACCTTAGCGACAGCCATTGTGAGGAACCCTTGCTTTTGTACTTCCTCAGCTGTAGGGTCTGCACAGAAATCATGCCTTACTAAGTCGGCCAACCACTGTAACATTCTGAAAGGAATTTAGCTAGGCAAAGTTATATTCAACTATCTGTATCAAACTTACGACTGGTGCCGCAGTTCCGAGAGTAAAATTTCTTTGGTGATAAGCTCGAACTTCACTTCCTCGATGCGTGCTTCTACAGCGCTACCCCAGTCAGTCAACGGTTCATGAGTTTTTGCATGTCTAGAAAGGGGGGGAATTTCACACGACACAATAATAGTTAGGTGAATGGTTATTACGGGAATAATCGCGATCCTTACTTTCTGTCGTAGAGATCATAGTGTACCCGTTCTAGTAGCAAACCAAGTCCTGGAGCCTTTGGTACGTCCACCTGAACACAAAAATTCAAAAAAAGAATAGTCCTTCTGACTACACTACACTGACTAGAAGACTTTCTGACTACACTAGTCCAAGGCAGTTAGTTTATCAGGTGTACAGAGAATGTGCATTTTTCTTGCTGAACTAGCTGAGGTTGTAAACACTATAACGGGCACTTCGCCCAATATAAATTTACAATCCAAAAATTCAAAGGAAATTTAGAACTGACTCTTTCGCTCTCGAAGGTTCTCTGAATATAACTCTTGTACTGAAGTTCGCGAATAACAGTAATTACCATGCCTGAAAAGTTGTAATATTATCGCTCAATAAAATAGGACTGATGGCGCATTTTTGGTGATCACCATTAAGATCGATAAATAAATAAATAATGATAACATCGCAGAAAGCAATCCGTTTGGAAATGGTGCACTTACCAACCATTTTCCTGATCTGATGTAAAATAAAGCTCTGTCCTTTCACAGTAAGTTGAATGAACTCGACATCTTCATTTCGAATGTCGTCATGAAATAGGAAGGGCTCGCCACATTCAAAAGATAATATATACCGATGGCAACTTCGATCATCAAATTCCCTGAACACCGAAAGGGCGTTGTTTACTGCTATCTCTAATAGATTTTGAAGGCTGAAATACCGTCGTGAGGTATAATTGAAGAAGTTGTGTGTGCCTTTGTATATACTGAGAACAGAATTGATTTCATCAATTGTTTCTTTGCTGATGCGGAAAGCAGCATTAGTTAGCTAAACTGGAAACGTCAAACCCTGATTCATAGTAAACAATGTTGTTGAAGTAAACTGAGTAGCTTACAGGAAAATAAAGAGTGCTATAAAGAGCACTCTATTTTTACCTGCGTCGGCTTCGCAAATGCGAAGGTTGGCAAAGTGTAACTGTACGTCCTTGCGCAGCACATTTTCTGCGGATGAAATGCATTCGTCGCACGGCGCATAGCTAAACGTACAACGCAATTAATGAAGCTGACGGAACTATTCCTTCGAGCTTCTGAATGGAAAATGATAGCCGGAAGTACCTATGACACGAATATCCTGCGGTAGCAGATTATTAAGTTCATTGGCTCCTGTTTCTGAGTACTCGTCACTCCTTGGTAGCTCCATACTGCAAATCTGAAAAGCTCAAGACATACAATAGAGGAAGAGCTCAATTTCAATGAAGAAAAACTACTCGACAATCAGGTCGCCCACTGAGAAAACCATTAGAAACTGACGGAAAAATGGATAATCATGTTGAATCTTCACCTGCCTTACAGCTGAAACCGCTCTGTCAGTACGAGCTGCTCTTTGAAAATGAAAAAGGTTCGGTTGTTCTTTCATTTCATCAGTAATCCATCCTAACTTATTCATAGCATTGATCAATTGCCCTTCAATTGTCGGATGTTCTTTTTGCACCTCAAAGCTCACGATTAAAAAATAAAAAAGGAGTCAGAAAGGTTGCGGTAACTACAAATAGTAGTAACTAAGACGTACACATACAGACTTACCTGCATACCAAAATATTCTCTTCCCTGATAAGCCAGAAGCATCGCATATCTCGCCCTTTTGATTCGATCCTTTGCAGTCCCTGCCGAGTGCTTTTCGATTTTGCCAGATTGTACATCGTGGAGAACAGCTTCAGATTTACTTTCAGCCACTTCTGCAACTTTCGTCATCGTTGCTACGACCCTCTGAAGCAACCGTTTCAACATGCGCTCTGAATATATCTAAATAGGAGCAGTTTCGAAGAGCAAAAGGCTGGTGGAGAAATCTTCAATGCGTACCAACATCATTACAAAAGCTACATTCTGCAGTGGAAAATACTTCAATCGTGATACTTCGAGATGGGAGTTGAATAAACTCCGATTATCAATCTCAGCTCCAGTAAAAGATCAGGGTTTTTGAAGTTTCTCTATAGCAAGAACTAGTCCCTGCCTGAGTGCGAGATTTAGTATCCGAACAGGTTGCTGTGATCGCCGCGCGTCGGAGCCTCCCCTTTTCCCCTTCCTATAGTACTGCTACCGTAACTCTAGGGGAGATTTCACACCAGACGATTTTCCGTCTATACAAACCCTCGATACAGCATATAGCTGCTTAAACTAGCCCTTCGAAAAGCGCTTTTCATGACTTCAAATAAAGCAGTTGCTTATAGGTTGTAATTGGAAGGTGAATGAACAGGAAAGCCTTGGGTGGGAACGTTGAGCCAGTGAAGAAGGAACTTATTCATCGTATTCTGAAATGCAAAAAGGTATAGAAGCCTGAATAAAGCTTATTCCAGAAAAGGGAATCCCTGGACTAAGAATAACCTCAGATGAGCTACATTTTTAATCAACTTTTTTTCATATGTGCTACCTGTCACTTATCAAATCCCTAGCCAGGCCCAATTCTGATGTTGGCGCCAGGATCATGCTATCATTTCCAAATTCTGATGACCCGAGGGAGTCTCCTGATAGCATACCATGAGCACAATTTTTTCAATCCCTACTGACAGCTTTTTGGGACAAGATTTTTCTATCATCAACAAAAGCTCTTTTTGGAAACACCCGTGCTAGCATATTCGTTACCACACCCAAAGTAAACACAGGTAGCACTCATGCTCAGTACAATGAAAGCGAAATAACAGTGTCAAAAATTCAGTGGACGATAGATGACCTGTACGTGGAACAAACCTGCGATCACCATGAACAGAATATTCATTCGCAGAATTTAAACTAGTTCCTTTTCTATAACTTTCTAAACATAAAATACACCTATACAGACGAGCATGGAGGAAAAATCCTCACCAATATCACTGGAATCATCGGAATGGAAGACTATCACAAAAATAAATGTTGAACTGACACTGTGAACTCAGACAAAAAAGCGGTGCATAACAAAGATATAGTTAAGCATAATTAACTAGAATTTACATGAGACATTTCACAGAAAAACAATCATAATTCATTTGACAGCCACCGCCTCCGATGAATCGGTATCAAGCTGTTTTCCGAGGTATTCCCAGTTATGCACCATTAGTTTTTGGACGGCGAGTAGGGCATGATAACGAACATTTGGATCTTCAGCGGTTAGAAGTTTCATGACAGCTTGCTTCCCTTGGTATTGTTCAATCACACTTAAATATGATGAAATATTTGATGAATAAGGAACATCGGCAAAGATCTGCCACATTCAAGATATATGAGCAAGGAGACGATAAATCTGCCCAGAAGTTTAAGTGGAACACGAAAGACTCAGGAATGGCACGATAAACAATGAGCAATTAGTAATATGAGTAACTTACGTTTTACCCCGAGGATAGTGTCGTACATATTCCCCAACGTCATGCGCAGCAACACAAAGGATCAAAGGATCTTGACTAGTTTCCAAAAGTCGGATCAGAATTCTTAAAGAAGGATAGGTTTAAGGCTGACTCACAAGAGTAGTTCAACTAACACCTTACTTTATAAGTTCGAAATTTTTCTCATTAAAGCGAGGTGCATTTTCACGCCAGAATTTGTCCGATTTGTGGACAGGGGACCACTGAAGTCGACCAGAACGAACCTCAATGTGGAACTCATTCGGAAACATTTGAGAATATAGAAAACAGAAAAGTAAAAACGAAAACAGAAAAATAAAATACTCCTATACAAAGCAACCCACTTCGCTACAGTACTCGTCGAACGAGCTGAGGTCTTGAACAGAAAGGTGCAGCTGTTCGCTTAAAAATTCGATGTCCTCCTGAAAAAAAAGCTTGAACAGTTTAATCTAGGATACTAGAGAACATAGCGCAGTAAAGTTCTTATGCGCAATGAGAGGTGCACAGAAATTCCCGTACCCTGGACAATTTCTGCCAAAAAAGGGGTCTCATTGGAAGAGGGGATCAGTATGGTAAGTTTCATTTGAACTTGAGAGGAAAACTCAATGTCGGGTTAAGAGAGAGGAAACACATGAAGGTTACAAAAAGGGAGATTGACGTGATCATAAACTGATGATGTATCTCACCAAATAAGCTAATTACCTCCAACTCCGTATCATCGTATTTCTTCGCGTCCATTAGTTCAAGTGTCTTAAGTGTCTTACATTGCACCATCTGCAATGCAGCCTCTTTTTTGATTTCCCGTTCATCGACTTTCCTGAGGATGTTGCTGAACGTCGCCATAATGATACGTATCACCTTAATATTCGACATTCTCAAACGAAAGCTGCTTCAGAAAAGGAGCTGATGCTTGTATTGCTCACCTTTTCTTTAGATGACTCCGAGAGAATATCCCCCAAAGCCTGAATTACACCAAGTGCGGGAGTACGGCGTGCAATATCGGGACTAAATGTTAAGCACCAGAGTGCAAATACTAATTGGTACTGTAGTTGGAAGTTCGCCTTTCCATTCAATGCGGCAACAATTGATTGAATTCCCTCCGCTTCTACAAAAGCGTGCCTGCAAGGAGCACCATCTATCTCACACACGCATATCGAAAAAAAGAAATAACCAATAATCATAATCATAATCAAATAATAGAAAGGAGCAAGGAGCAGGAAAATGACAGAATCAATAAAAAGAAGCTGTGTTTCCCTAATTAACTGGGCGAAGAACTAAAAAAAATTAACATCGTAACAAATATGAGTATTTACCTGTACTGATCATTGCGAAGCATCATCTGCAGACAGCGCGCAGTAGTGTTCATGTACTCGTTAGTCTAAACAGAAGTGGTCGGATGCGGGGATATGTACAGGAAGCAAGAAAATATGAAAATAGCTACAAGAAGCAGCAATTTTCAAAAGAACAGGAGAACAAATAAATAAGAAACAGTAAGAAACAATACACTCAGCAGTTTCAAATCAAAACACGATATCGATGGAACAATTTTTTGGACCCAAATCGAGAGTCTACTAGAGAAAGAGTAAAGGAAGGCTTCTACAAGGAAGAGATCAAGTGAATGGCCACTCCAATGTTTCCACGATTGAGGAGAATAGGACAGACAAGAATTGAAAATGAAGAAGGCAGTATTACCGATGCGCTCTTCAGCTGATCCTTCAGGAAGGAAAAGTAGTAATTGAGCTCCGACCCCTCCATTAGAGTCGAACCAAAACATGCCAGTTTGGCGATGATAGAGCTCATCTAGAATGGATGAATGTACTATGGTGCTTTAAAATCTATATATACACCATGTAAACAACCACAAAGATGAACCTGATTGACTATAAAATTATCCTGTCGCTGAAGAATTCCAAGGAACCACGACCATACGGTCCGCTTCTGCTTTCGAGCCGCATTGTGGAAGATTTCGACGCGACTTTTGTCTTCCTAAGCAGATTGCTCCTTTAAAATACCTGTGCAAGCTTTGTCACAGCATTTTGGAGGGATATAATCAAGAAAAATGGAACATCTTAGGAGAGGAAACGAAGGAAGATTGGAGAACTAGAGAACGAACCTGTAACATGTCATCTAGTAGAGTAAGCACGTAGCGCACGTTTTGATCCTTTGCCACATTCGTTATCAGATTCACATATGTACGGACCGCTTGGCCATTTGCATCGTTGGCTGACAGGACAGCGTCACGCTCCTCTTTGCTCTGTAAAAGGAACCAGTAAATTACATTTAGACCTAAGGGCAATGTAGCTTTAGCAATGTAGAGAAAGGCATGCCCAACATGTAGCAATGTAGCTACATGTTGAGCGTCATAAACTCAGGGCATTCCGGAGGCTACAATCTGTGTGCAACAATAGCGAAAAGAAAACTTCTCATGGATGGAGTGTTCAGTATATCTTCTGCTCTTATAGTTACACAGAAATTAAATAGAAATGATCAGATCTATTGAATACAACCACATATAAAAGTCATTTAAAGAAGTGAATGGTATGAAGATCAACACATCTTCTCTTCCTCCCCACTTTCTCTGCTCTCACCTCATAAGGACGATTTCAAATGGGACTGATCAAAGCAAATCTTCAAGAGTGATTACTCACCTTTGCATTTTCATAAGCTGAGATGAAATTGTAGTCCTCTTGCGGAATCATTGATGAACGAAGATAAGATCCCCAATTAGGTTTGCTTGCTCGTACCTTAAAAACTAAAGTAATCCAGTAGCTCTCACAGCTCTTTTAGACCTTTAGAACAAATTTTACATAAGGCATTTCGCTCATTTGTGAAAACCTCTTTGGCTTTCCGAAGTTGGATAAGTTTTATGTGAGATAAGATAAATTTAAAAAACATGGATTAGCCACTCCAAAGAGGGCTAATAACATAAAAACTTTTTGCTAAAAATCGTTGCTTTCCGAAAAAAAACTGCTAAATTTTACCTCAGCGGCTTCGAGTTGAAGTCTCGAGGTTGCGTTGATCATGTCAACCGCCGGAATGGCGTGCGCTAGTTCCGCCATCTGAAAAAGAACTTATAGCAGCTGGCTAAACNATGGTGACGACATGCAATGATGTTCAAGATGATCAAATTCCTCATTATTACTATATCACATCGGTAATAAGAAGAGAAATAATGGCAATCACCTCAAAAGCGACTACAATTTTTTAAAAGGACAATAACCAGCTAGTAATTTAGTGCTTCTAGCGCAAAATCCATCAGTCCAATAGAAAGAAACTAACTCTAAGCATCTGAAGTAAAAGTGCCCTATAGCAAGAGTTATTTCAAAAAGAAAACGAACTGCAAAGCCAAATCCACCGCTAAGCGCCCTCAAGAGAACTGCATGTATCGAAAACAGACCCCGAAACAGCAGTAAAACCCATACTAACCATATGTTGACCAGTACTACACAATGCAGGTCAAATACTCGGGATATTCTTTGAAAACTTGAATCAATAACCACTTTAAATCCAAAACCAACGATCACAGACCGACCGCCAGCGTATTCGCTCCGAGACCACCTGAACGTCCGGGAACTCGTCCACATTGCCGCAGAGGTGTAACGACGATCGTAGGTATCTTTGAATGTATGTTCACCGAGATTTTTCGTTTGAGCATAGAAATGTGACATTCATAAAGGCAAAGCATTTTCGAGGCATCGTAATCGTCTTCAAAAAGGCAATTCCGCAGCGGGAGCCAACTGCACGGCACATAGAAGCATCCCAAGGTCTCACCTTTCGCTGAAGCCTCGCTTTGCTTAACATCTGTGTGATCCAGTTGGGCGTGCTTANAACGAACCCTATATTTGGAATGGGATTGTGACATATCAAGCATACTTCATCAAGGAATACTCCACACACTCGGTCTTGGAAAAATATTGTCTGGTTTTCAAGGGTCTACAGCAATATTGGTGTCGCCGGTGTTGGACTTTGTTTTTCGTTGACCTACGGGCACGGTTCTGCGCCTGTACTACTCCAAATTGAGTCGTTGAACATAATGTAGAGGAAATTTTCTATTCAATCTGAGACGAAGTACATTTTTCTACTTCTATTCAAAGCGCTCGATGCATTGATTCAGAAAGATGAGGGGTCAAAAATGACTGGAAGTTTTATCTTAACAATATATATAATTACACGTTCATCAACAATATCAAAGAACAATCAACAACTCAGAGACTAACATAACCCATTACAACGGTGAACGGCTATAGTCTATCTCTTTCATCAGAAAAACTACCCCGTAGTCGACGACTAGGCTTAGGACAGAGTAAGGCACTACGATTCTACGCAAACACTAAATTAAACGTCGTTCTCTAGCGGTCATGGATCCAGGTTGCAAAATCGCACCAGATTTTGTAACTATCGTGGTAAGGGAAAGGGAAAGGCTATAGCACACATTACTTAATAACATGATATTAGACCCTTCCGTCGAAGACAAACAATAAAGCCAGACATAATAACATATCAAAGTTAAAAGTCTATGAGAAATAATATTAATTCAATAAATACAATTCAATAACAGCTCGAGAACAGCGTGGTTCCCGATCTTTTAATGGCAAGATTCACATCGTGGAGAATCGCTTCACCATTTGAGGTAAGACTGCAGCATCTGCGCGCTTTCTACTTTCCTAACCGAATTTCTCGCTTACTATAAGCTTCCAGACACTCTTCGAAAGCGTATCGAGTACAAGGCAATACTCGAACTGGAATGATCTCCGTCACTCGTAGACACCATGGAGGATACCCGGATAGGGATGGAATACTGCCAACCTAAAAAAACCTATCTTTTTACTATGTCTGCAATTGATACAGCCAATATGAGATTTTTTTAAGCCAGAAGTTCTGTCTTCAAAGTAAAAGATACCTGTATCAGGACTTCTGGCTCATAAAGTGAATGTCGTTTAGCCAGATAAGTTGAAACTTCAGCGACAGATATTGGCGTGGAAGATGAAGAAAGCTGGAAAAGTCTGTTTTGAGACGCAGAGGTCAAGGCCAAAAAAGTAAATAAAACATGATCGAATACAACTAAGGCTTGAATCACTTACATCTCGGCATGTTTCAACAAGTGTTGCCCTTCCTGAATCAACAGAAAGCAAATGAACTATTAACCGATAAGAAGACAGATCCATGGGTGCACCGTTGCATCCCGTGACTATCTTTATCCGCTAAATGATATATATTAGTTACGTACAAAATATGGAATCATTGGAGTAAAAAAAAANAAAAAAAAATAATAAAGCTCATCAAATTGAGCAAAAATACCTTAGATTTGCAGAAAATACTGAGATCATCAGCTAGAAAGGAATGATCCACGACAGGGTCATAGATAGTCAATCGCCGAATGTTTGCACCAAGGCAAACATTCAAAAGCGATTGTAGCGACTCCTGCAAAAGAAATGTGAGGGCACCTATTGGAGGCAGCCTGGAATTCTGTCAAAGTAATGAAAACTATCATCGAATCACAACTCACCTTGGTCAAGGAACGGTTATTGATGAGAACCGCAACGTGAGCAGGAGTTTTCAAAGCGCGGCGGATATCTTCCTAAAACATTGAATCTTTACCCTGAGATCGAACTATGTAAATGAAAGAACTCAAGGGCAAAAAGTAAGATATAGTGAGGAGAAGACAGCCAGATGCTAGAACTGAAAAACCGGAGAGAGAAGTTGGGAAAGAAATCGAAAAATAGTTGGAGAAATGCGATAATGAGATAGTCAGAAGACTAGTAATGTATAAAAAAAGAAAAACGGCCAGGAAAAATTACTCCTATTCAAGAAGGATTCTCGAAAATTCAAAGTCTCAGGCCGACAGAAAACTTTCTGCTCTTCCGATGACGCCGAAACGATCAGCAAATGAAAAACATCGCGGAGGACAAGTACAAAGTCCAAATTCCAAAATACTCAAACCTATCATAACATTTGATAAAAATCATGCTAGACATATTTTAGATTAGTAAGTTCCCACCTGAAAATGTAGGAAAACATAGACAGTGGGTTTTACAATGAGAAGAGAAAGAAAAGAAACCTGGTATACCACCCTAGGCCTCAACATCCAGAGCTGTTAAAAACTTCGCGCCCCATGAGGGGGAGACGGAAAGAACCAGTTACCAAAGAAAAGACCAAATAAACTGACTTCACGTTCCCTCTGTTTGATTTCACGTCGAGCCCAGAGTGTTGAATAACCCAGGAAGTTGCAGGCGAGCAGGACCAGCCAATACACGCTGCGAATCGCTATGGCACATAGCCAGGCGACATCGATCATACCTTAATGGCACATTTAAATTCTACAAAGTGACAACATTTTTGAGTNCAGGTGAAAACGAAGAAAGTATTTTAAATTAGTAGTATACGTTGTAAACAAAGTGAGCAAATCCAGTAGTTAGGAAGGTAGTGAAAACACTCATTCGAGTAAGGGAAATTGAAAGTGTGTTTAAGGTACGAAATCTTACTGCAGAACGAGACTTGGGAGGTCTCCATTGGACAGAATTGGAAGTAGACTTAATGAAGCCCAACAATGTTACAGTATTGTCAGGTGAGAACAGCGATGACAGCTAATCAAAAAGCTCCGGGTGGATGTTGAAAAACAACGGGTGGATCGTTGGGAGCAGCTGGCCCAGTGGTTTTCATGGCTTAGTGTAAAAAAATTCAGATACTGCCAACTCAAGGAACATGCTGTTATGCTGACGCGGCATCATGGAGTTGGCCGCGGTGCGATGGAAAACTCGTCCAATGCGCAAGGATCATTGCTCACTGCACTGTGGGAGCAAGTGCGACGAAAGATTGGTTCAAGTGATCTCGATCAATTAAGCATCATAAGGCGTTGTAGAGACTTGGGCAGGGCAGGGGATTTCTACTGTCGTCTGCGCTCTATCATCGAGATTTCTGGTGGCCAAACTGCGAAGACAACCGAATAAACATTGCATAGACGATAGGGAGGGTATCTTGGTGTGGCTATGGAAGGGCAGAATATCAGAGTGGGCTCGTTACCGGACCGACTCCGAAGTGGTGGTGGCAGACCGATCCCAACCAAACAACGCCACCCACCTCAAGGCCCACACTAACTTCGTCATGGTGTAGCCACATGATAGGGCAAGAATAGGGCACCCGATAAGATGAGAACTGCACTTTGTTGCTTAGGACAAGCAGGTACGACCAGTTCCAAAGAGCAAAGAAGTCATGAGAAAGGACCAGTGTGGGAAAAGGCCAAGGGAAACGAGATTGAAGGGCGACTAGTAAAGCACTATCAGCCAACTCCATCCAATGTGAAATGGCCGAATAAACACGAGCAACGAAATAAATAACTCTCATTCATAACAGTGCAGTCTGGGCAGGACCATACATCAGGGCGATAAGNGACCAGTTCCAAAGAGCAAAGAAGTCATGAGGAAGGACCAGTGTGGGAAAAGGCCAAGGGAAACGAGATTGAAGGGCGACTAGTAAAGCACTGTCAGCCAACTCCATCCAATGTGAAATGGCCAAAGAAACATGAGCAACGAAATAAATAACTCTCATTCATAACAGTGCAGTCTGGGCAGGACCATACATCAGGGCGATAAGGTTTTTATTATCGTATACAGCAGGATTATGTAAACATGGTAATACTTTATATGGCCGACTATCTCGAATGCTGTATTTTCATGCAAACGGTACAAGGGAAAACACTCTCACCCACATCAATCCTGCCCGTACAACTGCTCATTGCAAACAATTTTTGAATACAAATCGAAGTTCGGATCCAAAAAAGGTTCCGTTCGCCCGAGCAAGTGGAGCAAAGTGGAACACACCGCGGATTATTCATCGCTCAAGGAATTGGATCTCCGGCGACAGATTTCCGTCGCGTTTTTAGCGTCAGGTTCAAACTGGTGTTATCGATTTTGTGGGAGCTGAGCTAAACTTTCGCGAAGTGTGGTCACAATGCCAGCTCCGAATGGTAGACCCCGCAATGTTTTTTGTTGATAACAATATCATTTGTTCATGGGACAGAGTAGGCCTCATTTCTCTTACTCAATCCCGTAGAATTGTAGCTGTAACAGGATGAGGTATGAAGGGCGTTCCATCATTATCTGCGCTCTGGCCCTTAGCGTTAGAGACGCGGAACGCAGTAGAACGCTCCACCCCAATTTTGTCGGGTTCTATTTTCTGCCACAGCTAAGCCGTTCTAACCATGTCATCTACGGTTATGCAAAAAAAAGCCTGAGTGATTTTCTCGGTCCCCCTCATGTGCATTTCTGCCTCCATAGTAAGCATTTGAATAATACGTCCGGGAGAGAAATAATTGTAATGCGCATCCCGTGCCAGCCCTCTTCTATGGTTGATTTTCGTAATTCACCAATTAGAAGTTTGCATATAAAACCAATCAATTTTAAGAAAAAGTCGTATTATAGCTTTGAACCAGATGAAGTTGAGGCAGCCCTGAAAGGAAAAGTCATTGACGGATGGTCTATTGAGAGTTCTCTAGGAAGCGGTGAGTTATGCATTGGTTATGGAGGGGTGCGCTTCGTTGCGCGCGTCCGTCAGAAATAGGTCACGCCGCGGCCGTCGCATGCGGCGCTTTAGCCCGCGATACTTGACAGACGTCGCAGTTGTCAGTGGGGCATACGATTTGCGCCTGGTCCACTGCAGTCAGCCAAAGAGAAGATAACACTGAAGAACGCAAATCGTTCGCTCCATGGACACTTGGTGATACTGTAATGTCATCTTGGGACCTCAGTGGGGGTGCGCCGCGCGCGAAGTGGGCGGGGTGACCTAGTTTTGACGGACGCGCGCAACGGACGTTCTCCGGTTATGGAGTCTGCTGTACTGTGTAAACCGAGACAAGCGTCCACGCGTACG